ATGGAGATCCTGTTTCGTCCCACCAAACTCATTTGCTTCTTCGTCCAATCAGCTTCAGAGCGTTGATCAGAACAGGAAGTGTTGGAGTCTGAGTCCATCAACATCTCCACGGCCTGCACAACCGTAAACTTTTCAATCAGCGCCAGCATTTTGGTGCAGTTTACAAGCTGCTGGATCTTCTTTGTTTGTTTTGGACACAGCAGTACTGTTGTATTCCGCAAGATGTGAAACAGCGCCCCCTGTCTTATGACAGTGAAAATACGGATTGATGGAACGTCTCATCAGTGGCGGGAAGTGTTGATGTAATGGCAAAGGTTACGATCACACCCGGGTCAAATGACTCTGCAGTAGTTCTGGGTATTTATTAGCAGTGATGGAAACACACTACACGCTAACACGCTAACTTTAGCTCCTTTACCTTCGAGATGCTGTCAGGAAAATGCTCAACTTCAGCAAACACTGAAATGAAGAGACTCGGAGAACCACGGAGAAAAGTTACAGCCAACGGGGTTACTTCAATCGCAGAACGTTAGCATACAACAGTATAGTAGTCTACACAACAAATCAGTTGGAAACAGCCCTTCAAGTTTGCTCGTTAATGTGTGTGTGTGTGTGTGTGTGTGTGTACGCTTGGGTCGTGTTTTCTGGGAATCCAAAGTTCTCCTAGTTTCCTACTTATTCCTGGAACTGAGGTTCGTGCGTCAATACATTCTATTTTTCTTTGTCTTTCTGTCAAAAACAATCGTTTCTATTGCGAAACTTGGCACATCCGTCCCAACGGTCAGGTCACCCTAACCCAGAATGTTCTCCCTCATTTAACCTCCCAAGACTTGACTTACACATGAACCACTCAATTTATCTAAACACCTCTTATGGGTGGTTTTTGCTGCCAAATCTGATATTTGACCAGCTGCTTTCTAAACCTTGTGTAACTGACCTTATTTTCACCTTTATTGGCCTTCATGCTGCTTTCTACTGTTTACTGACCTGTTTCCAGCCTGTCTGTGAAGTTCAACATGACAACAGATAGAAACAGACTCACATACAGAGAGGTGTGTGCACTCTCTGCTCTGCTGACAGTGGGAATGGTGTCTGTGCCCTATCTATGTTAAGATAAGATAAGATAAGATAAGATAAGATAAGATAATTCTTTATTGTCTGTTTGCACAGAAATTTGTCTTGCTTCTCCAGCTCACAATCTGTCATCCATCCACAAACAGGACACAATAAAAAACATAAGACATAAGCATGAAGGACTTAAACACGACATAAAAAGTGTTATAGAATGCAAACTCTCAAAAGTAATAAAGAGAAAAAAGAAAAAGCAGCATGTGTGCATTGTGTCTGTAGGGCAGGGGGTTTAAGTCCTCCTTGACCTGCCCTGTTGATTCAGCAGTTCGATGGAATGAGGAATAAAAGAAAGTTTGTATTTGTTCCTCTTGCAACTCGGCACCCTAAAGCGCCTCCCGGAGGGCAGAAGCTGGCACTCCTTGTATTGGACATGAGAATGGTCAGAGCTGATCTTCTCCGCCAGTCTGATGGTGCCCGTGGCACAGCTGTCGAGGAAAGACTTTGAGCAGGTGTTGAGCAGTCTTGTAACCCTGCTTTTCAGCTGGACTGAGAGGCCACAGAGCCAGACCGGGCCTCCGTAGAGCAGGATGCTGTGGATTGTGGAGCAGAAGAAGAGGTGGAGAATCTCCCTGCTGACTCCAACAGATCTATAGATTATCTGCTGTACCTCGCTGCATACGTGATCCACATGATGTGACCAGGAGAGAGCGCTGTCCACATACACTCCCAAGTATCTAAAGGATGAAGACTGCTTTATGGATTTGTTATGAATGATGACCGGGGCTGGTGTGAACTGTGTGGATCCAAAAATGACCTCCTCTGTTTTGGTGCAGTTTAAGATGAGGGCATTCTGGCTACACCATTGTTCACACTATCAAAATAGGGGTCTCTCCCCCTCCGTCATCAATGCCAGCAGTGCTGTATCATCCGAGAATTTGATCAGATATCGATTGGTCGTGCTGATGATGCGATCACTGGTGTAGATGGTGAATAACAGTGGTGAGCTGACACAGCCTTGGGGAGCGCCAGTACTGGTTGTGAGTGGGGAGAATGTGTTGTTGATTTTGACCAACTGTTGTCTGTTAGTGAGGAAGGAGTTGCACCAATGAATGAGACATGGATTTATCTCTAACTGGTGCATTTTGAAAGCAGTAAGTCCAGTTTGATTGTGTTAAATGCTGAGGAGGAGTCAATAAACAGTACTCTGGCATCGGGTCTGCTTTTTGTTGTATCCAGATGCTTTGAAACCAGATGCGTGAGGGTGGCTACTGCATCTTCAGTACTGCGCTCGTGCTTGTAAGCAAACTGGTAGGGGTCTAACCTATCCTGAATTGACTGAGAAAGCAGATTTCATCAGTACTGAGGTAAGAGCCACAGGTCGATAGTGGTTACACTCTTTGACACATGCTTTCTTAGGGAGTGGGATTATATGGGAGGTTTTCCAGGCTGTGGGCACTGTGTGTGTGTCCAGGGAGTGCTGGAAGATGGGCTGCCACACAGGGGCGACCTCCTTACTGTAGCTCTTGAGGACAGAGGCGCTGATGTTGTCGGAGCCAGTGGACTGGTTTTTCTGTGTTTAAAGAACCTGTGTATGTGTGCACTAATTCTGGTGGAAAAGGTGTATGATTTGTTTCTGAAAATGCCCGGCAAGTGGGGCAAGAATTGTATCATTATTATTATTATCACTATTATTATTATTAGAGCTGACATGATCACATTTAAAGAGTCCTCACATCACCTCCTGATATTTGGATGATTTCCAAACATTGACAACAAATCAAGACACGAATGGTTTTAAACCAAACAAAGAAAGTTTGGAGACGATCACAGGCAGTAACAGCAGCGACGGACTCCAGTGTAGGGAAACATTTCCACAGACTGTGAAGAGTTCATGAAAGCATCATAACTGATGAATCAAACAGCAAACAGCCTCATTTCCTGTCAGGGAGACTAACATTGATGAACGTTGGTTGTAAGAGCGAGAGACCAATCAGATTGTGTGTTTGTCTCACTTAAACTAAAGAAGAATGTTGAACAGATGTTTGTAACTGAATCCTTCACAGCAGCCGTGACTCGTTCATGAATCAGAGACCTTTAATTCAGTTTTATAACAGTGACGTAACATGACATAATCAGCTGGTGATCACAGGACTGATGGCGGAGACGATTCACTCATCAAAACTTCTTCTGGAGCAAAAAGAGTTTATCATTAATGTTTGATGAAGCAGCACTTCCTCTGAGCAGACAAGTTCAGCCTTCATGACTAAATTTAGTTTTATCAATTATTTAAACATGATTCATTTGACACATGTTGTTTACTGTAAGGTGATATACTTGTTATATAAATGTAGATTTATTTGGGAAAAACAACAAAGAGCACGTGTGCCAGAGAACATCAGCTGTATGATCTAATGATGAAATTAGTTAAAGAAAGATAATGTTTTGTGACAGGGAGGGGGGGTTATGATCTAAGAGGAGAATTTGATTTTAAAAACAACTAAGAAGAGTGTGTGTGTGTGTGTGTGTGTGTGTTCGGCGTGGACATGTGGAACAGGCTGCATGATGAGTTGAAACAAAACACAAATATAAATCAATTTAAAAAAACAATACAGAAAATATATTTCTGGCAGATATATAGAGGAGGAAAGGTTGTGTTGGGGAGTGTGTATTTATTCTGTATTCTTTAACACTGGGTGGTGCTTGGACTGTAATAAATAAATTTGGGAATTTGTTGAAATAAAATATGAGTTAAAAGAAGAAATGTAAGACAGTGGGTAAGTTCACCTCTACCTCCTCCTTGTCTTGCTTGTTTTTTATATATTTATTTTGTTTGAAATAAAGTCATTAATTCATAAATTAATTAGTAAAATTTTACTTGTGAAATTCCCCCAAAACCTGCAGGTGTCTGTCAGCTCATCACGTCTGGAGAAACGTGAATCAAAGTCCGTTTACTGACTTTTTTCCAGAGCTTTCAGCCACATCTCACTGTCCTCCTCACGTCGACTCCGTAGGCGGCGATGACACTCAACTTACGGCCTGTGGGCCAAATGTGGCCCCGCGACAAGGTGCTGGGTGGCCTCCCAAACGCTGTCTGATCCACACTGGAAATTCTTCTGTACTTTTCTGTGAACAAGGTGTCAGAGTGCATAAAAAGCATCAAAACAGAGCTTGTTTACTGCTCCTCTCCGGGCTCAGTCCCAAATGTCCCAGGATCACCTCTGCGTACACCTGACCAGTGACCGGACGACTGGCCCCCGGCTTCCTGGCATTTTGCAAAAATGGCCCCTGAACAAAGCAAGTTGAGTATCCCTGTTCTAAGATAATGACAACACCAACATTCTTATTTTCAGGTTTATATTATATTATTCATATTATTTTATATTCAATTCAATTAAATTACATTATATTATATTTATTTCTGCCATGATATCCCCTTAAATCCGACACACTGGTAGGAAAAAAAGTAGAAAAATTTGATTATAACCAAAATAAATTAAAAGAATTATATAGTGATGTAAATAATTAAAACACATGGAGACAACTGAATTAAAAGTTTAATGTAAGTTTGTGGAAGTTGATTTTAAGACATTTTGTTTGGTTCTGATAATATCTGATGACCTGTGAGAACTTTTGTTTCCATCTTTTATTATTGAGTCAGACGTATTGTCTCTTTAATGTGTTTTCATTTGTATCTTTGTAAAGTTATTTATTTTGAATTTATTTGATCTTAAATTTGGATTTTTTAAAATTTCTTCTTCTTCTTTTCACTTATTTATTTATTATTTAAACCAGAAAATTAACTTTATATAAGACTTTAACATTTCCTACGGTACCTGAAGGCACCATAGGAGCTCGCCCCGCCCCCCCTTCCCCCTCAGGTGGACAGAGCGGGGCTGTGATTGGTGGAGAGCTCCGGCTCATGCAGAGCAGCAGGAAACACGCAGCAGAGAACCAGCTGGAGGCTCGAGACTGATTTAAAGACGATCAGATTCAGTCCATCCAAGGTTCCTACCTGCGGCAGGTGAGTCCACTTCCTGTTTGAGCTGTTAGACACGTGACCGTCAGAGAAACAACAGCTGGTTGTTTCTGTTAGTGTGAAGCAACACGCGGAGGAAACACCGCATGTTCCTGAGTCCAGCTGAGGAGGAGGAATTTCTACTTTTACTGCAGTTAATGCTGCACTGTGAGGAAGAGTCCTGCGGCACGAGACTCACTGTAAACAGCCTGTAAACAACCTATAATCAACCTGTAATCAACCTGTAAACAGCCTGTAAACAAACTGTAAACAAACTGTAAACAGCCTGTAAACAAACTGTAAACAAACTGTAAACAGCCTGTAAACAAACTGTAAACAAACCGCGAGTGTACAAGTGTTATGAGACAGGAAGTCATTTCAGTGTGTGCACACAGAATAAACAACACAGCAGTGTGTGTGAAGATGTGCAGATACACACTGCGTTAAAGTGCAAGTACCGCAGCAGTGTCGTTAGTTAGGGACCGTTCGTTACTTATTGGGGGGGTCTAATGTTTATATGTTGAGTTAAAGGGAGGTCGTATTTTGTATTTCTTCTCCCGCAGGCGGACGTGGAGGTCGTTGTCTTCATGTCCTGATTTAAACTGATCTTAAATTAAAAAACTATAAAAATTAGAACGTTTATATTTTGCAGATGAAATCTACGACTTCGGCCTTTCACGTCATCACGTAGTCTTTGTGTGATGACGTCATTACGTTCTGCTAAAAGTAGGGCTGGGTGATATGACCCTGAGATAATATCACAATACTATTTTTGTGATAAAGATATTATTGATGTGACAAATCAGTAAATAAATAAATAAAATGATTATTATTAATTTAAGAAGATAAAATTTCACTAAAGTCAGTGAACGTTTCACAGTAAAAACAAAATAAAAATGATGATGTCATTTCTTTAGTTTGTGAACAACAACAGTAACTCAGATTCAGATTCTGTCACAGTTCAACCAAATCAAACCCACCACTAACTGCACCTTTAACAAAATGTCCCCAGGGGTCTACAGCCCCGTCCAAAACTGTTGCTTCCTGTTGTCCACTGAAGACGTTTGGGTTTCAGATCAAAATATAAACATTCAGAAATCCCCCTCAGATCGGTCTGTGAGCACGGTCAGTCTTTTATTTCTGGGGGTTTGTTGTCTCCCAGTGCCTGAGTGTTGTTCCACCAGCTGTAATGACTCCTGACACAGTGACTGAGAGTTCATCCCGTGACGCATGACGCACTTGTGATCTGTCCCCCAGTAAACACAGAGACACTGGTGATGTGTCACCACGTCATTTACTCACGTGTCCAAGAATTTACTCCAAAAGGGCCGAATGAGTGGACGATCCCAAATACTGCGTAAAAATACTGGTGTAATTTTAACGTGAAACATTCATATGGTGATACTCGCAATATTTTGACTTATTGACGTCATACTGTTACCCACGGCAACAACGAGCATGGCTGACAGTGAAATGATGATGGACTCTGCAGTACACACAAAAAGGGGACTCAGAGGGAACTCAGTCAGCGGCTCCTCTGGCAGCAGCACAGCGTCTCTCGATGTGTCGTCATAAACCTTTGGTACATTACACGAACACAGCGGAGCGTCACATGGCCTCTGACGTAGAGTGGGACCCGACCGGTCTCCTGGTGGAGCCACGAGGTGGACAGTGCATGCCGGCTGTGGACGTCGACAAGGACCGCTTCTGTCAGGTCGGGTCGGCCAGTCTGGTCCCGTTGGTCAGTGTTTACTTATTCCAGTAACACTGGCGGTCCCGGAGAGTGAGTGACCTGACATGGTGCGTTGGTAAATTCAGTCTGACGCTCTACACTAAAATGAGAGCCCTGTTGGTGGAAGAAACGCAGCGTTATATTTCTACATGAATGAACCAACGGTTAAGTTAATCACACATTCACTCCGCTCGGCGCTCTGCTGCTCCGTCTCCACAGACAGAGTGTCCAGAGTGCGCT